CCTACAGTTGCCTCAGGGATGAGCTGAGGTCCCCAGAGGGTGGAGTCTTGTCCAGACAGGAGGCTGGAAGTGCCTCCCTGCAAAATGGTGTAAATCAGCAGTAGATCTTCAAGGGTGGATGCAGATGGGAAAGAGGAAGGACAGCTGGACACAGTGGCACACTCCTGTAATCCCAGTGAAGAGGGAGGCTGAGGTAGGAGGATCACAAGTCACAAGTTCAAGGCCAGCTTCACCAACTTAATATAACTCTCAGCAATTTAGTGACTCCCTGCCTCAAAATAAAAAAAATAGAAAGGGCTGGGGATGCGTGGTTAAGTGCCCCTGGAGGCAATCTTCAGTTTCACACACACACACACACACATACACACAATCTCTCTGCTAAATTCATAGTGTGGCTTCTGTTTTCATATGACCCTTAACTCATAAAATCTGAAGAGATAAAAAGATCAACACTGGAAATTTCAAAGGCCTTCAAGATATCTTAGAGCCAGCTGGGAACAACAGCAATTTCCCCCTACAAGTTAAAAGGTGTCTTCAGCAAACATCACRCCAAATGGAACAGCAGCATCAGGTCCTAAGGCATGAAAATAAGTAAAAGATACAAGAATCGAGAATAGAAAAAAAATTAAAACTACACTGAGATTTCAAACACACCAGTCAGAATGGTAGTCATCAGGAATTGTAACAATAATAAATGCTGGAGAAGATGTGGATGAAAGGAAGACTTTGCTGTCTTAGTGGAAATCAGTCTGGAGTTTCCTCCAAAGACTAGGCATGGACCCACCATATGACCCAGCTAGGCCACTCCTTGGTTTTCATCCTGAGGAATTTGTCATCTTAACTACAGCAATAYGTGCACACCCATGTTTGTAGCAGCACAAGTCACAATAGCCACACTATGGAACCAGCYRGGCAGCCTAGGTGTCCATTAATGGGTGAATGGTAAGAAAATATGGCTATATACACACAGTGGAGTGCTATTCAGCCATAAAGAAGAGTAAAATTGTGTCATTTGCAGGAAAATGGATGGAACTAGAGACCGTGTTAATGTTAAGCAAAGTCAGCCAAACCCAGGAGGTTCAGGTCACGTGTTTTCTCTTATATGTGAAAGCTAGAGAGGAAAAAGGAAAAGAAAGTYGGGGTGTATCTCMTGAAAACYMTAGGGAGATGAGCAGAGGAAAGGGACCAAGGGGYRGGGGAGGCTAGGAGGGWCGGGGAAGTGCTGGGGGTGATGTTGGCCTCATTTTACTGTTGTTTTGTGTGCATGAGTGGATGTATAACAACGAATCCCATCACTATGTACAACCACAGGGCACCCGTAAAAATGCAGAAAGAGAAGAAGACGACTTTCTTCATGAAGGATGTGATGTACAGACAGAAAAACCCCAGAGTGCACACAGATGAACTTGGGGCTTAAGAGGGGAGTCAGCAAAGCTGCCAGAGATTAGTCCAAGTACAGAAATTAAGTGTATTTCCGTATCACAGGAATAACAGGGATGGGATCTTGCGAACGCTGCTGTTAGCAGTAGTGTCTGGGGGAGGAAACCACAAACAGGGACCAGGTCTGGAGGATCCCGGGCCATTGAAACCAGCTCTGCCTGTCACTGACCTGAGCCCCCCTCGATGTGGGGTTGCAAAGCAAAGTGTGAGCTATTCGCTGTGAAGAAGGTCAGAGCTGGTCCATTAAGGGACCTTTGATAGATCCACAAAGTCAGCTGGACAACTGTGGCCTCAGGGACATTGGCTGTCTTCTGTGTCTGTCCCCCAGATGCCACCCCCTTGCATTCCCTCCGTGGAGCCCCCAAAGCATTTGCTTAGGAGCTGCCCAGCTCAAGAACTGCTGTTGGCTCTCAAAAAAAGAGAAAGAAAAGAAATCTTTAAGATTATATTGTGGGGCTTGGGCTGTAGCTCAGTGGCAACGCGCTTGCCTAGCATGTGTGAGGCCCTTGGTTTGAGCCTCAGCAGCACATAAATAAACAACAACAACAACAAAAATGAAGGCACTCCATTGATACTCAACTACAGACAAAATTTTTAAAAAAGATTATAATGTGCCTCTCTGCAGGTAAATGGATGGAATTAGAGAATATCATGCTAAGGGAAATAAGCCAAACCCCCAAACCCAAAAGGYGAATGTTCTCTCTGATGAGTGGATGCTGATCCATAGTGGGGAGAGGGTTAGGGAAGAAGGAAGGAACTTGGGTTTGTGCAGAGGGGAGTGAGGGGAGGGGTGGGGCTGTGGGGGTGGGAAGGACAGTAGAATGGGACAGACATTATTACCCCTATACATTATGATCACACCACTGGGGCGGCTCTGCACCATGGACAGCCAGAGGAGTGAGAAGGTGTGCTCCATTTGGGTGCAATGGGTCAAAATGCATTCTACTGTAAAATAATTAAATAAAATGAAAAAAAAGATTATTTTGGGCCTCAATTTACTTAACACATCAAAAATTATGATAAATCTAGAACATATCTAAGCACTTAGAGGCTTACCTAACAAACCATGGTGTCACCACCTCTACAGAGGAAATAGAGCACCTGTACTAAGGACATTCAAGGTGCAAAGAAACTGAAGATATGCCACGTTAATGGGTTTGGAAACAACATTGCAGAAACATCACCTCACCCAGATCAATCACGAGAATCACCACATTATGTCATGACACCCTTCGGGGACTGGGGGGAACTCATGACTGTATTGTAAACTTTATGTTGAAGTAGAAATGTCCCAGTATGCCAAGGAATTATGAAGAACAGTGTGTAGCTCCGCAAGATATCATGATCGCTTACATTATAATTGTATTGTATTGACATGGGAATTGACCAATAGGACAACAGAACAGAGAACTTGGATAGATACCTTAGCCACAGGAACCATCGCACACGTCAGCAGAGATGATAGAGAAAGACAGAAAATAGACTAGAGATCCGGATGCGAGAAGGGGAACTGGGAGGACCAGAGACAACCAGCTCAAAGCCAGTGTTAAGTATGAAAGTGACAATTTAGGATTCAGGACATTCACTGACAGATGTGTCAGAGTGTATCCAAAATGCATGGCTAGGTGAAGTAGGATGAGGTCATTCTGTTTCCCCAGCAGCATGTACGTCCTAACTGTCGTAGTCCGTTTTCTGGTGCTAACAGCACAGTGCCAGGGACTGGAAGAGCTATGAAGAAGAGAGGTTGGCTGGGCTCATGGCTCTGCTTCATGGGGAAGGGGCCACGTCTGTGTGGTGGTCTTCTTGTTGCCAGAGTCTTGAAGTGGCAGTGGCATCTGGCGAGAGACAGGACCCAAGCTGGCTGTTACAGCAGACCYATCTCCAGATAACCTGTCCATCCACCAGCTCGGGAATCCACAGGGAGGGCAGAGCCTGCAGCACCCCTTCAAGGGCCCGCCCCACCTCTTCCTATCCCACAGTGGGGTTCCACTTCCACAGGAGTTCCAGGGGGGACAGCCATAGCACACCAGCATCGACTCCCACTAGTTACAAGTTCTGATTGACACATGCAACCCAAACTGCTAGAAACAGAGGGAAGGAAACAGCTGTGCAGGGGAACAGCCCCAGAGAGCAGGGCGGAGGTAGCTCCCCACCTCCCCTGCTTGTACCGTGTCCCCAACATGAGCCCGAGCACCGTGGAGKTCGAAATGCATGGATCTTCATAAATTAATTATAAGATTTGAAAAACTCAAGAAGTTGGGATACGGTTTTAACAAGAGAAAGCACTGAGGTTGTGGATCTGCACTTAGAAAAAGAACAGTTTCACATTAACATAAGAGGATCGTTCCACAGAGAAAGAAGGAAAGGATGAGGGAAAAAGGGAACAGATCAGAGAGCCTGGGCAGCCTGGGAGAGAGGAATCGATGCGTCAAGAYGAAGATCAGATCAACGATACTCACAAGTCTTCTTTGTTTTCAAAGATAAACTTAACAATGCACTGAGGCGCGTTTAGAATTTTTTTTCCCTCTGTTGGTTCTTTTCTTTCATAGTTGGGATTTGTGCTTGTTTGTTTTTGTTCACTTGTTTGTTTGTTTGTAGTATTGGCCAGCCTCTCTGGTTGTTGTTCTGGGGTTTGTTTTCTTTCTTTCTTTTTTATTTTTATTTTTTGTATTGGAGATCGAACCCAAGGACACGCGACCCCTGAGTCTCATCCACAGCCCTTTATTTCTTTATTGAGACAAGGCCTTACTAAGTTGCTGAGGCTGGCCTCAAACTTATCCTCCCGCCTCAGCCTGGTGGCTTGCTGGGATTACAGGCATGTGCCACCATGCCTGGGAAAATAATTTGTTTTGTTTTGTTTTCCTTCTTTCTTTTTAAAATTACAGCTATGTGGTGTTCTGCATCTGCCTTTACACTCTGTGACTACTATGGTTTTGCAGCAGCCTGAGATGCTAATTTATTCTAAATTTGGTCTTTTTGATCTCAAATTAACTTGGTGAATTTTCAGCAAGGTCCTTGGCTTATCTCAAAAGATTATTTTTTTTCTCTTAATGAAGAGGCATGTTAACCTCATTAGTTTGTTTGATGTGAATGAGAGGCGCTGGCATATCCTGGTGCTAGCCCCTCCTGAGTCCTCTGCTACTGATGGTGGGTCTTGGCACTAAGCCCTGCTCCACGAGGTACATTTCTACACGAGTGTTACTTATATGTGATGTCATTCTACCTGCAGATGCATCCAACAATTGTTTGAAATTCCTAGAAATCTGAAATCTCCTGTTACAATGTCATCAGCCATCAATCTGTTACCTCAAATTGCTGTATGCCCTTTCCTTCCTGCAAGTTTCTAAAAGCAGCTACAATCTACAAGACACCCATGTGATACAATTCAATGTTTGGATATTCAACACATAATGGCTATTTGCAAAATATTGATAAAAATGCTCTGATAAATACAGATTTCTGACTGGGTAAAAATTTCCAGAATTCCCATGGGAAACTGGGRTTCTGAAATAGCCAACCCAAGATCAAGGGAAGCAAAAGTTGGTAACATGGGACTTGATGATGAGGAAAACTATAACTTTTAGGACATTTTGTTTGAAATGTGGTTGATTGGTTTTTGTCTCATTTTTCAGTCTTAAGGAGACCTTTCCTCTCTTCTAAGCTGTCTATAATTTTGACAATTTGATAAAATGTGCTTTTATAAACAAAAATGGTATATTTATTTTATTCTCCTTTCCAGAATTTGGAAGCTCGTATGAAATATTCTTATTTTTATGGCAACGTATTTGCATAGGTTCAAAAAAATACATTCTGTTCATGACAGGACATAAATAGTCAAGTCCTTGAGTGGCTTCCTGATCTACGAGGTATTTGTTTATTCATTCATACATACATTACATACATGCATGCTGGGGACAGAATCCAGGGGTGCTCTACAACTAAGCTACATCCTTGCCTCCTTTATTTTTTATTTTGAGACAGTGTCTGCTCAGTTGCAGAGGCTGGTGTTGAACTGCACTGGGGGTCAGAGAGATGTGGCAGGACACCAGAGGCTCTGAGGTCCAGACTGGCCCAGCCCAGGAGGTCAACAGGGAGCCTATGACCCCCACATTGAACCTGCCCTTGGCCCAGAACCTCAGAGATCTTGCCTGCCTTGAGCTGGACATCCTAATTCAGGTCCACAGGCCATGCTACAGAGGATGGTTCTCGCCATGGCCACTCCAGCTTACAAAGGAGGCCCCTGATGGGAACCTTCAGACTAGGTGACCGCTGAGACTTGGATAAAGTAGCAGTGGGTCTCAGGTTCTACACGGGAAGGAGAAGCATCTTTCTGGGACTAGACACAAGGTGGTTCCTCTCCATTTAGCTCCAGGTTCATGATGAGCAGGGATCCCATCTTAACTCCATCCATGACCTGACCCCAGT